TATCAAATATACTCGATGTATCAAATATACTCGATGTATCAAATATAATCGATGTATCGAAGATACTCGATGTATCAAATATACTCGATGTATCGAATATACTCGATGTATCGAAGATACTCGATGTATCGAAGATACTCGATGTATCGAGCATGCTCGATGCTTCACGAGTTTTTCCATTGACGGTTAAAATGGCTCCATCACAACCATTGAGTTACTAAACTTGAAAATCTGTGTAGTTCTTTTTCTCCCGTCTGCTCAACTGCACGCGGCCCCTCACGTGCTGCTTCACACACGCTAATGTCATGAAGGCGGTGCACCTGAAGAGTATTATTATTTAATACGTGTAAAAGTCTAAAAGATGAACTTAAATAAATGTAAATAGTTAATTTTTAGACATTTAGTAGCGTTACAGCTGTTTGTTAATAAATGTGCCTGTGTGACAACTGGGACTAAGCCTTGACTTAGAAATATATTTTTGTTATTACTTTATGGAAAGAATAAAAATATCGAGATATAAATCGTATATCGCCATTCATCTTAAAAAATATTGAGATATTAATTTTGGTCCATGTCGCCCAGCTCTAGAGCAGAGTAAGTAAAGACGCAGCAGAGAGAGGACAAGGTCAGTTTGTCCTCCAGCTGTCTGAGCCTATAGCAGCAGAACTACGGGACAGCTCAGGAAACCCAAGCCGACCCTAACTATAGGATTTATAAAAAGGAAAGTCTTAATCCCAGTCTTCAAACTGGACAATGTGTCAGCCTCATGGACAGAAACTGGAAGTTGGTTCCACAAGAGAGGAGCCTGAGAACTGAAAGATCTGCCTCCCATTCTGCTGCTGGAAACTCTAGGAACCACAAGTAAACCTGCAGTCTGAGAGTGAAGTGCTCTGTTAGGAAAATATGGAACAATATTAGATTTATAAAATAATTAAGATTTGTGATGTGGGGGGTCCTTCCTGTTTTTCAGACCTGTCAAAGATGAGGTGAAGAAATCTGACGCAGCGCCCAAGAAAAAGGGTAATTATGGCCCGCAGTGTTTATATGTACAATAAAATGCTGTTTGTGGCTTGACTTGGTCGTAGTCGTGAGTTTTAGCTTGTTCCTTTTAGAAAGCTGGAGAGTAATTTTATTTAACATTTCCATCATTTGTTTTTCAGAAATGCCGACAGACTTAATTCTCCAGAAACTCCACAGTGAGATCAAACTTTCACTGAAAATTGACAACCCCGTAAGTTTTCTTATTCGCTGGCACAGAACAAGAACATCGTTCGTCTTCGTCAGTTTTTCTTGTTTTAACAACGAACTGAGGAGAAAACTTGACTCTACTTCATCGGGGTTTGAACTTTGTATCAAATGCACTAGAACTGAGCGTGCATGTGTACATGTACGTTTTTTATAGACGGAAAATCAAATGGAAACTTTTACGAAGGGATCAAAATGAGAACGCAGCAGCACAGACGGGTTCTCCGTGTTCTGTTACTGATGTCTTAATCAGGAAGTGTCTCGTGGCTTCATCCAGACGTGACGGAGCAGAAGACCTGGAGACAGTGAACCACCATAGATTTAAAGTATTCTTGTTTTGCTGTAAATAAATTACCATGCTAACTCTGCTGCGGTGCACACAACCGTTATCCCGTGTGATTTTATAACTGACGGGTAAACTTGATGGCTGAGCCACTTCCTCGTCAGCTTCTTCTAACTGGGTGTAAAGAATTCTGGTGTTGGTGTTTATGGTGCGTGAGCCGTTTATTCCGTGTATTTAAATCTCCGGCACAGTAAGGGACAGCTAAACCTCCAGAAGGCGACGTGTCATTTAATAAGAAGCCGTTTTCTAATAGTTTTTTACTCGGGCTGTTTTATTGTGAAAAGCAGATGAACAGCTGTTTATTTAATTGCATCCTTCAGTTTTAAAGTCTGATAAATAGGAAGTAGTTGAAAGTCTGTTTCAACCTTTCCCCTCTTCTTCTTGGCCCTCTGGCGTCACCTTGTCAGGACATTCAGAAGTGTTTGGACGCGTTGGATGAGTTGGGAGCTCTGCAGGTCACAACCCAGCACCTGCAGAAACACAGTGAACTCATCGCAACGTTAAAAAAGGTAAAGTATTAAAAGCAGAATGAAATCGTGAAGTAAAGTGGAAACGAATCGTTCTGTCCTGGTCGTAGATCCGGAGGTTCAAGGCCAGCCAGGATGTCGTGGACAAGGCCACCATGCTGTACAACAAGTTTAAAAGCATGTTTCTTGTCGGTGAAGGGGACTGCGTGCTCAGCCAGGTGCTCAACAAGTCTTTAGCTGAACAACGGCAGCACGAGGACGCCAAGAGAGGAGCCCTGAAGAGAGCGGAGCACGTGAAGGACACCAACACAGGTACCGTTCATCTGGACCGCTGCTGACGGCACCACCAGCACAACTACACCCGAGCTTGTAAAATGTTGGACGTGGAGAACGTCCCCCACAACAACAACAACATGTGTAATAGTTTATACAGTCACTGCTAATGGCAGAAAAAATGGCATTTAAAAAAAATCTTGTGCAATTTAAACATTCAGTTACGTTAAATACATTAAAATATATATTGAAGAAAAAGTTATAAAAGTAGAATTAAAGATACATTTTATTGATCTGTGCAGAAACCCTGAACAAAAACAACTTTTACACAAACTAAATGTAAACCTTGAGTTCATTTTTAATGTTGACATCGATATGATGAACATACAGAGACAGTTCATTAAAAACATTTGATTTGAAATACAGACTCTGGTACTGGTACCGGTACCGGTACTGATACAGGTACTGGTACGTGCTGGTACCTGTACTGGTACTGGTACGTGCTGGTACCTGTACTGGTACTGGTACCGGTACTGGTACTGTCTCAGGCTGCCCTGAACTTCTCAAAAGCTTCTAGAATTTCTTGCAACGTTTGGAAACGTTCTCTGTTTCCAGGCTTTTGTCTCAGAAGCTCCTGGTCCAGTTTGAAACTCATCAAACAGTCTGTGGGACAGTTTGTCTTCAGTCTGTGGGACAGTTTGTCTTCAGTCTGTGGGACAGTTTGTCTTCAGTCTGTGGGACAGAGTTTGGCTTCCTGGACACCTGGACAGGTCTCCAGTCCTTCTCGGGGACACCTGGACAGATCTCCAGTCCTTCTCAGGGACACCTGGACAGGTCTCCAGTCCTTCTCAGGGACACCTGGACAGGTCTCCAGTCCTTCTCAGGGACACCTGGAGACAAACGTTGTACAAGTTGAGTTTTGGGGTCAACCCAATTCAAAATGGCTGCCACAGCAGATGTTGAGCTGCAGCTGTTTCCTTGACAACATAATTCTGAGTGCGACGTCTCATGTCGTTATTTTGAAGGTTTGACCGTAACTTTAGATGAACTCAGTTTAAACTCTGACATAAATTAATTCCTTTTTCTTTAAAATACTCAGTTTGTTTGTTTATTGTTGAGCGCACGTCACGTGCACATCACGTCTACCAACAACGTTTGACAGCAAGAAGGCCCTAAAGACAATGGAAGGAGTAATATTCATTATCATTTATTGAAGGTAGGACTCAGACAGATGTTGGAGCAGCAGTAAAACAGCTGGAAACATTTGTATCAGGTGAATGACCTCGACTAAAACTTGTTGACCACACGTGTTAAAAACATCATAGGATTATTTTCTGTTGCAGCAAAGTGAAATAGTTTTATTAGAAACAAACTTGTTCTGTTGAGAAATGAAGGCGTTGCATCATGAGGTTCTGCTCGTTGTGATGAATCCATCATCTCCAGTAAGTTCTGTCAGAGGCCGACTGGGCGTCCTCCGGTGGTGTCACGGGTCTCTGTGGTCGACCTGCTCTGACACTGGCTCCAGACTTGCAGCCCCATCCTCTCTTGTGCACGTCGTCTCACCAAGTGAAAGGTCTTTTCTTTTCAGCTGTGAAGCATGCCAAACTGGTGGAAAATGGTCCTAATCCCAGTAACCTTCAGAGAGCAGCGTGCGTCATCACATGCGCTCAGACTCTTAACAGAGGTTCTTTCACTGACCTACAGACAAGATGACCAACGGCTACGTGAGTCCCGAGGAGAAGAAGCAGGAGGCGGAGAAGCACGAAGACGCCTCAGCTGGAGAACATCTCAGGTAGTTCAGCCACAGCTGCTTCGTCGCACCGTGAACGTTGATCCTGACGTGCGTCGTGTCGATGGAACTGATCGTCTCTTGGCTCTAGTTGCACCAACACTTTTATTAGAACTCCAGTCTCTCTGAAGACGCTGCTCATCGTTCAGTCACGTCTCCACTGAAACAGAACGCTCTGGTTAACGCACCTCGTTTTGTCAACATCTGCCCAAAGTAAAAGTTGCTCAACTAAAATAAACATGCAGCAACACTTAAAACATATAAAAACCATTAAGTAGCTGCGTGTAACAGCCGCCGACACGTTTGTCCTCCCCGACTTTATAAACGTTCGTAAAATCATCACGTGACAGATTTCCATCGTCTGTAAGACTGAGGTGGAGGAAGACGACGTGTTTTGTTGTGGTCTTTTAAACCCGTCCAATCTAATTTAACTGGGATTAAACTGGTGCTGCTTTCAACCAGTAGAGACCAGGGTCACCGTCTGAGCCAATCAGAGCAGAGCGGGGGCGGAGCCTGCTGTCTGGTTCACGGTGAGCAGCAGAGACGAACCGCAGGTGAAGCTCACCTGCAGCCAAGGACACACTGGTATAATGGGAGTAATGGTAGGGGACACGCTGCCTTGGAACGAAATGATCGTTTTAGGGAGGAAATCTGTCGTAAATAAAAAAACATATTTTATTTAAATGTCTGAGCTATTTTATTACACATAGTTTTAGATAAATATATCTATTTAATCGGATATATTTAAATAAAATATTTTATTCCACTTGCCTGAAGAAAGAGATCTGCTGCTGTAAGGAAATGATCCATTTTAAAACATGTCATGTGACGGCACTGGGGGAGTGACCTGTTAACGTCACGTGTTAGAGCGATGAGCGGCAGACGTCCAGCAGCCGTGAGTCGAGCTTTACGGCTGCTTTAAACGAGTCGTCGTCGTTCTTCTGGCTCTCTTAATAACCAGAACTTCAAATATGTTCTCCTGTTTAGAAATAAAGTCTTATCAGCTGTTCTTGTCTGTCACCAGTGCTTCAAAGGAGTCCGCCTGAGTGTTGCGCCGGCCTGAAGAAGTGGAGATTTGCTGCTGTAAGAAAGTGCAGTCCAGTTTTCTGAACATTTGTCACTTTTGCTGCTGAAAGATTTTTGTGCATCAACCACCCACTCCACGTGTTGCTGCATACTCTATTTTTGTACTCGACGCCTCGTCTAGCTGCTGCGGATGTACTGGATTCATGTTTGAAGTCAAAATGTTTGCAGCGCCTCAATGTTGACGCTCACAGGAAACGCTTCGAACCTTCTGGCTCCTTTTCCATTTCAACTGAAATAACAATATTTAGGGTCCCCTGGTTTCTTCTGGACCAAAGCGTAGCTCGACCGTACCGACAGATGTGTGCTAGTAGCTGCTTTAACTATAATAATGGATGTTTCATAGCTCTTTAATGCTGGTGCACAAAGGAAAGGAAGTTTGCCAAAGTTCCAACGAGATGCTTTATTTTCAACCACGTCTGTTTAGGGTTTCCTTTAACATAGATGTAAATAAGATTTATTTTTTGTTTCTGTCTTAACTTCTTTCACCATCCAGTAATAAAGTGGTAGATATGCTACGTCTTTTGTCTCTTACTGTTTAACTCATTGTACAGAATGAACTTGAGTAAACATGACCAACTTCCAGCATTCAGAAACACCTGATCACACGGGGAGAAGTACTGAACTCATTTTTATTTTAAAATACTGCAAAGAAAGTTGTAGTCAGGAGACTTCACTTGAGCAACACAGCAATAAATTAATTTTTATTTACAGCCACCAAAACACCTTCAGTAAACGTTACTGACACAAAAACCATTACCCATGAACACCTGGGCACCTGAGCATTAAAGCCCATCAGTTAAATGCGCCTCTGTCGACGTAGGGATACGCCAAGAACTCTCCCAGCTTGTTGCCCTGAGCGTCGTAGTGCAGCATCCGGAAACACTTGTCGCAGAACACACACGGGTCGCTGGGGGCGAACTCGTCGTTGGTGGTGTACCACCTACAAAACGAGATGACCGATGAGCTCTGAAAAGTTGGTGATTGTTGGTCGTGAAACTCCAGCCTTGGACCCACCTGCCGATAAAGACGTGGCAAACGGCACACTTCCGAGTCAGAGACCTGTGTTTGTGAGTGAGGAGTGGGTACAGCTTCTTGTCCAAGCAGTCGTTACCGTGCACCAGCCTGAAATGCAAAACACAAGAGTCTCTGGGAGACCGGAGCTGGATATTTGTGTTGCATTTGTGAAGAATTACTTTAGTGTGCACTTACCCAGTTTCCATGAACTGTACTCCAGCTCTGGGCTGTGAACATCCATTGATGCAAGCACGCCCAGTATGACTTTAAAATCCAGTAAAACGGTCTAATCCATCTGACAGTGACGCACTTTGTTCAAAATCTTCCATTAGAACTTCACAGTTATTGAGTTTGGGGTATTAACTGACAAAAGTCAACAACCCTTAGGTTGTGGTTTGTCATGCACGGTTTGATGTCGGCTTGTTCAATGGAAGCTCACAAACGCCTAGCTCAGACAAAAAACCTTATTCACAATTAGACACAGTTGCACGGTTCTTTAAGACCCAAATTTGTAGAACCTAAAGCATTTCATCTACTTGCACACAAGTAAATCAACAGTGACAACGGGCCCCCATACTCACGGAGCACCCCCCACAGTGGACCCCGAGGAAGACGATCAAACACCTTCTCCAAGTCCACAAACTGCATAGACTGGATGGGCCAACTCCCATGACTCCTCGAGGGCCCTAGTGAGGGTAAAGAGTTGATCCAGTGTTCCACGGCCAGGACAGAACCCACATTGTTCCTCCTGGATCTGAGGTTCGACCAACGATCTGACTCTTCTCTAGTACCCCTGAATAGACCTTACCAGGGGGGCTAAGGAGAGTGATGCCCCTGTAATTGGGGAACCACCACCCCAGTCTGCCAATCCAGTGACACTGCCCCCGATGTCCACGCGACGTTGCAGAGGCAACCAAGACAGCCCCACAACGTCCAGAGCCTGAAGGAAAACAGGCGAATCTCATCCACTCCAGAGCCCTGCCGCCGCGGAGCTTTGTAACGACCTCGGCCACAGTTATGGACAGACCAACCCTGAAGTCCCCCCGACTCCGCTTCCTCCCTGGAAGACGTGCCGGTGGGATCAAGAAGTATTCCTTCCACTTCTCGATGGCATCACTGGTTGAGCTCAACAGCACCCCACCTTCACTGAACACAGTGTTAGTAAAGTGCTGCTTTTCCCTGGGGCGGCTGTGGCTGAGTGGTCAGAGCAGTCGTCCTCCAATGGGAGAGTTGGGGGTTCAATTCCACCAGCAGTTACATTTTGAAGTGTCCCTGGACAAGACACTGAACCCTCATTGCCTCCGATGTGTCCCATCAATTCAACAACTGAGTTGTGGAACAAGGTCCACTCTGACGGAATGTCCCCCACCTCAGCTGGGATGTGGTTAAAGCTCTCCCAGAGGTGTTAAAGATCTTTCCGACGGGTTCTTCTGCTTCCTCACTCTACATATTTGGGTCTAGTGGGTCTGTCCAGCATCTTCTCCCTCCATCTAACCCAACCCACTACAGGTGGTGATCAGCTGACAGCTCCTCTCTTCACCCGAGTGTCCAAAACAAACGGCCACAAATCAGATGACACGTCTATGAAGTCGATCATCGATCTAAGACGTCCTGGTGCCAGGAGCACTGATGGACACCCTGATGTTCCAACATGGTGTCTCATGGACAAACTGTGACCAGACAGAAGTCCAACAACAGAACACGCTCGGGTTCAGGTCTGAGGCCGTTCCTCCCAATCACGCCCCTCCAGGTCACACTGTCGTTACCCACGTGAGCATTAAAGTCCCCCACCAGAATAAAGGAGTCCCCAGCTGGAACACCTTCCAGCCCCCCTGCCAAGAAGGCCAGACACACTGAACTGTCGTTTAGCGCATAGGCACAAACAAGTGGGAGGCCGCGCCCTCACCCAAAGGCGAAGTGAAGCCACCCTCTCATCTACCGGGGAAACGACACATGCACCAAGTCGGGGGGCTAAGAGTAGACCCACACCAGCATTTGACTCCATATTTGAAGAAGAAAAAGTTTTGTATCTGCTACGCCAGCTGGTCTGACGTGTGAACTTGTACTAAACTTACCTGTTGCACATTTGTTTAAGTTCTCTAAAACGTTAGCGTGACAGACGGACCTTAACATGGATGAAAACACACGAGCAGAAGCATCATCCCTCCTGACTTCTGTGTTGGGTGATCACAGGAGGGGGTGCGTGGTGAAAACTTTGGGACCAAAAACTGGAGCACCAACCTGACGTCTGTGATGATGACGAGATGTTCGCAGTCTCCCTGATGGCAGTAGAGGTATGGGTATCCCACTTTTACTGTGAGATCCACAAACCGAGTGTCCTCCATCTTGGCCTGGCTGAACGAGGGGAAGTTGTGCGCCTTCGCCCACTTGATGGTGGTCCTGAATCAGAAAAGCAAAGATGATTACATTTACAGTTTTCTTAAAAATCAGTGAAATATTAAACTGAATATTAATACAATTATTTTAAACCATTATTTCTAAGCTTGTGGTAAATCTTGTGGCTGCTCCTTCGTCAGGGGTCGCCACAGTGAACTATGAAGACTTGGTGACTGTTGTTACTCCAGATGTTCTTCCTGACACAGAGGCTGTGGTAGCTCGGTGTCTGGTTGTGTCAGGAAGAACATCTGGAGTAAATATAATAACCGAGACTTCGTGGGACTTAGTTGGGTGTGGTGACCCCTGAAGAAGGAGCAGCTGAAAGAAGAAAAACTGACTGGTATTTAAACAGGAAATGAAACGAGTCACTCCAAACTTGAAACATTTGTCAGGTCGCATCAACGGTCATGAGGTTCTCACACGCATGACTACGTAATCAGTGACTGGAAGAGTGGTTTTGTGGATTCGTTGGAGACATAGCCAGAAGTCAGATCTGCAGAATTCATGAAATATACATTTTAACTGTACTTTACAGGTTCTAAATTAATGAACACTTGAATGAGTCAATCAGTGAAAGACAGCCTGAGGCTCTGTGAACTGTTCAAATTCAGAAAACCATGTGCAGGAGCACAAGACTTTCAGGCTAGTCTGAAGACCCTGCCTTCGTAGACTGTTCAACAACACATTGATTCTTCTCCAAGTTCTCCTGTGTTTAGGATGGTCCTGTTACATGATCCAAATGTGGCCAAACTTCAGCTATCTGGCAGATTTAACTCAAACACTTTGGTGGACAGAGCAGTTCCTCATCAACTCAGTAACTGCAAACACTCCCAGGTGTTGTGCTCTAAAACAAACCATCACATCCGTGAGTGCCCGAGGCTCAGTGGGATTAACTTGTAGAAATAAAGTGGAATGAAAAACATAAAGAAGAGTCAGACTTTAAGTTTCAGTAACTGTACCGTCATGACCTTTAACCTTTGACCTGCCAGTGAAGCATAAAGAAGGTAGACTTGTTTATTTTCCATAACTATAATATTATAAACTGAGGTACAGTAGTCCCTCAATTATCGCGGGGGAGCCGTACCCTGAATTCAGACTCAGAGTTTCTTTATTGTTGTTCCACCTCATGTGGTACATGTGGTGGACCGAAATTATGTTCACAGGGTCCCAGTTACGTCCAACAATAAAAGGTCAAAGAAAAACAGTAATAACATCTAATAATAATAAGTAATAAGCCCTGCGATAGGTGAAAAACTGCAAAGTAGGACTAGTACTAGTAAGTAGTTTATTTTAGTGTATATATATATATATATATATATATAAACACAGGCATTTTAAACCCTTCTTCCCACGTTCATGCAATATTCTAAACAATGTTTCTAAACGCTCTAAAGGAGCACAGATCATGACTTCAGCTCTCTGCCACCTGCAAGCGCTCTTGGCCACGCCCACTTCTCCGCTCTGCACAGTGAACAGCTGATCAGCTGCAGCAGGAAGTTCATCCTGCAGTGTGGGCTGCACCAAGGTGCAGGAGGTGCCAACATGTCACTTACATGCTGTGATTCTCTGCATGCAGTATTTTTGGACACTTTATTTATTTTAAATCTCTGATGAGGTGAAAGACCCACAAGATGTTGACAGGTGTAAAGTCGAGCTCTGAAACTTACATGCTGATGTCCTGACACTCAGCAAACCTCATGTCGTTGTAGAAAACTCCCTCAAAGAAAAAGAACGCCGATTTGAAATGATCCTGAAACATCAAAAACCTTTGCTGGTTACACGACCATCAGCTTTTAATGAACGTTCATGAATGGAAGTGCTGTCACGGGACGTGCTGTGTTACACGCATGCACCGTGTGGGGGGGTTACTTTGCTGATGAAGTCTGGAGCCATGTCTGGGGTCTGGCTGAACTCGCCGCTCACATGCAGGTCGCTGACGCAGCAAATGGCGTCCCTGAGCTCAGCCAGGCTGTGGGAGCCGGTCATCAGCAGCGTCATGTGGGGCCTGACGTAGTTGAACTGGGGAACGTTCACAAAGAGCATTCAGGAACGAAGAAGACCAAACGACCAAGGCACTTTGATGAAAAGAGCTCACTTTCTCAAAAACAGCCGGGTAGTAGACGTTGATGGTTAAAATGAGTTCTCCTTCTGGGAGAACATCAGCCTGCGTCTCTGGCGTCCTGCCGACGGTTAGTCGTTCCTGGGGATCAGAACGGTGCATGTTGCTTTAAATGTTAGAGAAACGTGCTCAGTGTGTACACGCGACAGAGACTTGGTGGATAATAATTAACAACGAGTTCTCTTCGGTGACGCCCAGTTCACCTACCAGTTCATCGGCGTAGAGGTCGTGCCGGTTCTTGTGCATCATGTTCCGAGAAGCTTTGCGATCCTCCCTTCTTTTTCTGTCACTGGTTAAAAAAACACCGACTTTGTGTCACTGAACAATCTGACACGAGGAATTTTCTCCACCGGTGTGTAAAGTCTTACATTAGAGTTTTCAGCTGGGGGTTCGGAGGCACGACTTCAGCGTCTGGCTGCTCGTCCTCGGCATGGCACCGAACTGAACCAACACTTGACAGGAACAGAAAGATTCTCACATTATCATCATCAGACGGGAAACCTTAACCAGAGATCTCGTGGACCTTTGGTGTAATTTACATTATTCTCTTCTTACTGCAGCTCAGTCTTTGCAACAAAATACAGGTTTGAAAGAAAAATACTACTTTAATTTAATGTCTGATGCTGTAAATGTATATACTCTATTATTTAATATTTCTTTCCCAGAATAATGTACACGAGCGTACTGAAGTTACAATGTTATGCTTTTGGTAGAACATAAAAAAATACATTTTATGGTCATTTTGTTGTCCCGGGTTTACACAATTTATATTTATGTTAATGATTCAACACTGAAAAAACTTCTCCAAGTTTTTTTGTTCAAAGGAACAAAAGACAAAGTTAAGTGCATTTTACACCAACTTCAAATTAAATTGGCATAGTTGAACCAAATATACAACGTAGACAATACATTTTTTACTGACACAACCTGAAGCTATAAAAGTGGATCAATTAGTGCATTTCTTGTTAATGTTTTACAATCGAAGGTAAAAGCCAGACTTGAGTTATCTACATAGAAATCAACCTTAGTGTACACACCGATGTTGAAAAAAACTTTCTACCCGACTTGGATTATAGACACATAATTGACAGACATGCTTGTGAGGACGTCCTTCGTAAGGTGGACACAGTTTCTCTCTATTGTATTTAGTATTTATTCATTTATTTGATCTCTTTTACCTTCTTTTATTCTCGCTGTGTTTTTAATTTGCACTGATTTATTGTGTCCTGTTTTTAATCTTGTTTTGTCTTGTGAAGCACCTTGGTCAATGCAAGGCGTTGTTGGAAGGTGCTATAGAAATAAAGTTTATTATTATTAGCTTTGTTACAAACGCTCCTTGTACAACATCAAGGTCACCTCTACTCTTTAAATGGCTTCTCTACATCACACTCCTGGTGAAATCCACTGGTTTACCCTCATTTATAAGCCGTTGCTGGTTACTCACCTCCATATTTATTCCATATATAAATGGTTGCTATGGCGGCACACAGAAGGTGCAGCGGCTTCTCAAGCTCTCGGGTTTAAGCCTTACTTTAATTCCTGTGAGGCTGTTTAAGGCGCTGGTTCGGTGCTGGACTTGCGGCTCAGGTACAGCTCAAACGAGCTGATGGCCAGTTCGGTTTAGTTCTGAAATCCACACTCGGCGGACGGCGGCTCCTGAGGACAATGGAACGGAGCAGCAGAGGGCGAGGAGCGACGGTCAAGAGGAAGACACGTTGGCCCAGCTGAAGGCTAGAAAAACCACTGAGTCCTGCTCTCTTTCTGGCCACTGTCCCCTCACTGGATAACAAAGTGGACTTGTTACATCTGAGGATGAGTGTTTGTACAGAGATGAAGAACTGTGCTGTTATTTGCCTAACGGAAACCTCAGCCTTCCAGATCAACGGTCTTCAGTTATTCTGAGCGGATCGTGACCATCGATGGGGAAAAACACGAGGGGGAGGACTCTCTGTGTTCGTGAACGAAGGAAGCTGCGGAGAGCTGGACTTGGGAGCTCAGTCCTGAGGAGCTTCTGTGGTGGAGAGCGTTGTCTGCAGCTGCATCACCGTGTGGCACGGCAGCCTCACTGCTGCTGAGAGGACGGCTCTGCAGAGGGAGGCTGCGACTGTGCTCCTGCCACCTCGGACCTCTACACATCACGATGCAGGGGGAAGGCGCTCCACATCATGAAGGACTCCACTCATCCTGCACACAGTCTGTTCCATCCCCTCGAGCAGGCGGCTGAGGAGCAGAGCAGCTGTCAGACAGCTGAGCTCGAGCTGCACTTTATTAATAATAATAATAATAATGTGTTGTCATCGTTGTATGTTCCCATGCCATGGAAAAATTGGCTCTCTGCATTTAACCTGTCCACCACCAGGTGGAGCAGTGGGTGGCCTTTGGAGGCTCCTGGGAGCAACTGGGGAGACACCACGATGTCTGGGATCGAACCCACGAGTCAGCTGCCCTGCCCCTACACCAATTCAGCCTCATCTTACTTTTTTTTTTAACTTTATTTATTTACCCACACACGTGTATATGTGTGTGTGTAAATGTCAATCAATCAATCAATAATAACTTTATTTCAGACACACATGGTCCATACTAGTAAACAAAAAATAAAAAAAAGATAACACCAACAAAACACAATAAAAAATAAAATGTTCATCCATTGCCAGATAAATTAAGGTGCCAGTGATTGCACAGACTAGGAAAGAAGCTAACGGAGCGTTGTACGGGGTGGTCAGATATAAATGATGCTACTTACAGAGGCTGTTAGCCTACACACATCTGTACATAAGGTTTCGAAGCACAGCAGCACAACTCGGTACGTTGGCATTTACAAACATCTGTCTGGCACTACTCCATCGCGGCACCTTAAGCAGCGTCCTGGTGCCAACATTGTACCCACTTGAAGTTTATGCATCCTGCTTTTATTCTGTAATGAGCCACAGGTGGGCAGTTTACACTGGAGTACATTATGCTTTAAAGAGTGCAGCTTTTACAGATACTGAGCACTCAGAGAACTTCCCAAGAAGCATATCAGCTTGTAAGGATTGCATACAAGGCTGTCTGTCAATGTCCCGTCAACAGACAGTACCAAGTATTTCACCTCCTCACTGACTTGCAGGATGCTGCCAGACAGAGCGATCAGGGAAAGATAGTTCAGTGTCCTCTTTGCTCCTCACAATCATGAGGTTACTCTTTTATGCATATATTTAAAAAGTCCAGTCCTTACTGAGAGCAAACCCTTAACAGCTGCTGCACACCAGCACGATAAGGACAAAAGATTACAAGATCGTCAGCATACATCAGGTGGTTGATGGTTCTATTGCCAACCCAACAGCCAGTCCTACATTGATTCAACAGCTTAGATAAATCATCCATATACACGTTAAATAAGCAAGGAGACAAAACGCTGCCTTGTCGCACACCATTACCCCCGTACAAAGAAGATGATACAGATGTTCCCACTTTATACGCAGACCGGT